TCTCTGATTGTATTGAAAGATCATGCGCAACTCACTAAGAAAAAGTCTCAAAACTGTCCCTTTCTCTTTACTCTCTGGCTCAGATACAGGCTACAACCCATAGTTTCCTGTGTTACTTTATGGGTCCTTGAAGGCTTCACAGAGGTGATTACCTAATTCACAATTCCTTATTTCTCCAAACCAGTCTTTTCCTTCTCACTTTACTTTTCCAACAGCAACTACCCAGATTAATTCTGTCCAGTCTAACAATGGCAGGACGTGTATTGTGGAACCAAGCTTAGCCGAGGTTTCGCCATTTTGTATATCATCCACCTTGATATGTTAGTCCTTGTCCAGCCGCATTCTGGAGATAGTTTCAACAGTCACAACCCTCACTCCACTTGGTGACGAAAAAGCAGACCACCCCAGCCGCCAATGAGGGCAGTCCTGTCCATAAATGGGACAGCATCTCTAACCGTCCAATCAGTTTGAAACTGTAACCGCACGCGCCAAAATGCCTTTGTAGTTGCCAATGAGTAATTGCCAGCTTCTTTCAAAATTCGCGCCACTCATGACCCTATAAGATACCCCAGCTTCCTCTGTTCGGGGCTCTCGACCTCTGCCGTTGCATCGGTGCGTGTCGAGGGCCCGGACTCGAGCCCGTAATAAACTCCCTTTTGCATTTACATCAGCTGCCTTTGGATTCTTGGAGGCTGTGCTCGCCGAGTCTGCTGATCTTGGGCACAACAGTATCAACAATTTTTGTTTTAGGCATATACTGTGTCTTTGTTGTTCTTGAATTTTGTTTGTCCCTATTTATTACTAGCAAGAATAAAGTCTACTTTTTCTCACAAGGGAAACCACTGAAACAATTGGAACTGAAATCATGATTTGTGTTCCAGTTTCAATTTTGACAATTACCACCTAAATAGCATGAACAGATCAATCTCTGAAAATTACCAACTAAATAGCCATGAACAGATCAATTTCCTATTCATCCCTTCATTTACTCAGTGCTTAGTCACAAAGTTAGGTGCTGGTAACACAAAGATAAAACATTCTGTTCTTAAGGAATTCATAATCTAAAAAAAATCAAGAAAACTAAAATAAAAAAAGGGGAAAAAAGGAATTCATAATCTCGCTAAGTGCAGACAAACAGATAAAAGCTTTACCCAGGGTATTATGGGAACTCAGTAAGAAATGGAAATAGGAGAAACTGGAAAATACCACGAGGTATCCCTGCAGGGTTCCTAAAAGTTGAAGAGCTGGTCTATCAAAGGGAGCAGACTGAGGTCTGTCTCAGGGCACAGATTCAGAGCTCAATGTTATTGACTTGAAAGTTCACAGTAAGGGATGGGAGGCTTTGAACTGAAGAGGACAAGATCCTGGAGAGCACTGGATGTTACACTTCACAGATGGCACTTATGGGTGGTGACCAAGAAGCATGCTGCAGCATACTGGTGTGTCGTGAATTCTTCATAGGTGTGCTGTCAAAGTTTGATCAGTGTTTATAGATCTGTAACGTATTTTATGTGAATTAAGTGAAAATGAATAGCAAATAAGCAAAAAGCACGAGACATAGCATAAAATCAGAGCAGTGTCAAAGAAAGACTGTTTAGCAAAACCTTTTAGATCTTTGCTTCTTGGCCACATGTAGCCAAGATTTCACCCCTTAAGGGCTGGAGACAAGTAGATGGATCCTCCTGCTGTTTTTTGTTTTTTTTTTTTTAAAGATTTATTTATGCATACAAGAACTGGGGTATGGGCCAGAGGCGTGGGGGGCAAGAGGATTCACCAGAGACAGAGTGGGGAACAGAACAGGCGGATCAACCGAAATACACTGCTGAGGGGAGCAGCGCGCAAGTCAGGAGAGGTCTGCTGCGCCATATGGGTATCTCCCTGGCCGGGGATCAAACTCATGCTGCAGTGGCTGCAGAGTGCTTCGTAGGCTGCGTCTTAACCCCTGCACCACCAGGGAGCCCCCCTCCTGCTGGTTTATCCAGTTTTTCCCCAAGTAGATGCTAGTGAGGGAGCTTTACCTCGTCTTTTCTATTTCTCCTGGGTCATTAAAGAGGTTCATTTGGGGTAGTTTGGAGACAGATCAACATAACCTGAGGACCTAAGCTGCTTTTATACTGCCCTGTGATCTCAGGGGAACCAGTAAGCAGCTGACAAAGGCCAGCTCCAGAACCAGGGTTGGGAACAGAGGAACTAGTATCATTGGATGCAGGGGGAAGGGAACTAGAAAAACAAAAATATCTGTTTACTATCTCCACATCTTATCCTATTTAGATAGAAAAAGTGGTTTATATATTTGTGTAAACCACTCTAATCCAATAGCATCAATGTGGTAAATAATGAGTAACTGATGCAAAAACACTGAAATTTTTTAGCTGCTAAGGAACACTGTTATCTGCATTATCAATTTGCTGTAATTTCTGGTGTGGTTGGTGGTGTTAGTCATCAGGAGAGGTCAGGTTGGGTCTGTGGAGTAACTGACCCTTGCTCTAGTCTTACAGCTGTGAAGAGCTTGTACTTTGGGCAGGTTGTTGTAGCTTGGGGAGGCGGGAGTGGTAATTGAGAACTTACCCACAGTTTCCTATACTCTGATCACATTGTAATAAACTGAGATAGTAGCCGTCCCCCAGCTTAGATGAGGTAGCTCAAAGCACACACCCATAAGAGTCTATCTTATGGGCCTCCCCGGTGGCGCAGCGGTTGAGCGCTGGGTTGTGAAGCTGCCCGTGACCTCTGGGACGCCGGTTCGATCCCCGGCTGCTCCCTGGCCACCAGAGGAGGGTCCCACATGGCGCGCAGACCTCTCCTGCCGCCCGCTGCTGCCCTCAGCAGTGTACTTCGGTCCTTCTGCCTGCTCTGCTCCCCGCTCTGGCTCTGGTGAATTCTCTCACCCTCCCGCACTTCTGACTGTACCCAGTGTGTGTATAAACAAAAACAAACAAATAAAAACATGCCTCTATTAAAAAAAAAAAATTAAAAAAAAAAAGAGTCTATCTTAGTATCTTCTTGGATATATGTACCAGTGGACTTCAAAGGGGGCAACTATGTTTTCTTAAGTTCCTGTTAGAACCCTCATTCAGTATTTTCATCTGCAACTAGGTCTTCACTACCATTCCTTGGAATAAAGAAGCTGACAACTCCTCAAGTTATCTTTTTGTCACTTGATTGTATTTAAGACACTTTACTCTTTCAGATAATTTAATGTCACTTAGCCCAGAGCCTCTTCCTTTCAACCTGAATTAACCTGATATGCTAGTAGTCAGTCTTTGAACTCCATGTGTCCCACCCAAAATTCTAGCTCCATAAACACAATTCTGCTGATTTTAAGGTGGGAAGAGTCAGTCCCTGTAAATGGAATTGAAAAGTATTTATACTGGTTGCAGAAATACTGACGTTGGGCCTCCCCTTGTGGCGCAGGCAGTTGAGCACAGTGCTGTGAAGCTGTCCGCAGCCTCTGTAGTGTGGGTTCGATCCCGGCCGGCCAGCGAGAATCCCACATGGCGTGGCAGACCTATCCTGTCTCGCCCGCTGCTCTCTCAGAAGTGTATTTCAGTCAGTTTGCATGTTCTGTTCCCCGCTGTCTCTGGTGAATCCTCACCCTCCTGCGTGTCTGACCTGTACCCCGGTTCTTGTATGTATAAATAAAAAATCTTAAAAAAAAAAAATACTGAAGTTTCCCTGGGCTACGTGAGAGTTGTGACCTCATGCCCAACACTTAAATTTTTTTTTTTTAAAGATTTATTTATTTATTATTTATACAAGCATTGGGTACAGTCAGAAGCGCGGGAGGGTGAGAGAATTCACCAGAGCCAGAGCGGGGAGCAGAACAGGCAGAAGGACCGAAGTACACTGCTGAGGGGAGCAGCGGGCGGCAGTAGAGGTCTGCGCGCCATGTGGGACCCTCCTCCAGTGGCCGGGGATCGAACTGGCGCTGCAGAGGCCGTGGGCAGCTTCGCAACCCAGCGCTCAACCGCTGCGCCACCGGGGAGGCCCAAAAATTTTTTTTTTTTTTTAAGATTTTATTTATATAAGAACCGGGGTACCGGCCAGATGTGTGGGAGGATGAGAGGATTCACCAGAGCGAGAGCAGGGAACAGAACAGGCAGAATGATTGAAATACACTGCTGAGGTGAGCAGTGGGCGAGACAGGAGAGGTCTGCTGCGCCATGTGGGTTGCTCTGTGGCCGCCGGGGAACGAACTGGCACTGCAGAGGCTGCGGACAGCTTCATAGCACTGTGCTCAACTGCCTGTGCCACCAGGGAGGCCCCTTCATGCCCAACACTTTCAACTGAAAGCAAACTATCGAGATGTTATGTCATGAACTTCAGTAAATCAGAACCTAGAACTGAAAAGAAACCCCAGGTTGAATTAGTGGTAAGGACAATTCTGAAGCCAGGTAAAGCTGGCTTTAAATTGTATGAATCATCTAAGACAAGTTATAGTAAAATGGGGATGCACATTTACATTAAGTGCTTAGGTGGTAAACAGCTAGAAAATGTTACCCTGAGGTCTTCCTCCCTACATAGCACAGGTACTTTGAGGAATAATTCAATTAATTTGAAGTATTCAAGTTCAAGCAGGGAGAAACAATGGAAATATGTCAAAGCATACCAAACAAAAACTGGTGATTGTTAGTGAGGGGTGGCAAAAGTGAAACTGGGACACTTCATGTGAATAAATTCTAAAGGTTGAAATTGGGCCTCCCCGGTGGCGCAGTGGTTGAGCGCTGGGTTGTGAAGCTGCCCGCAGCCTCTGCAGCACCGGTTCAATTCCCGGCTGCTCCCCAGCCACTGGAGGGTCCCACATGGCGTGCAGACCTCTCCTGCCGCCCGCTGCTCCCCTCAGCAGTGTACTTCAGTCCTTCTGCCTGCTCTGCTCCCCGCTCTGGCTCTGGTGAATTCTCTCACCGTCCTGCGCTTCTGACTGTACCCAGTGCTTGTATAAATAAATAAATTAAAAAAAAAAAAAGGTTGAAATTAAGAAAAAGAGTCAAAATATTAGCTTATTGGGATGTTTTTAACTGCCAGATACTCTTAACCTGAAAAATTTCCATTGACAACTTTTCTACTTATCTACTTAAGGTTCTTTTTCATCTGTTCATCCCATCCTACCCTGAGGAACTAAATGAAGAGGGGCCAGCTTGGTACATGCAGTTCCACAGAAAAGCAGCAGTTGATCAAAGTATTCAATTGTTTGTAATAAGGAGAAAAATCCCTTCTTTTCACCACTGGAATTCAAACTATGATAAAAGAGACAGAAAGACATAAGCAATTTTGAGTGAAATGTTCACATTTATATTGAAATATGCACTAAAACAGAATGAGTTCTACTAGTCAAGGAAACGTTGCCAAAGCAGAATCACAAACTTCCGTTGGGGAGGTCCAGTCAGCTAGCAGCAGTGATCCCCAAGCAGGAACAGCAAGGAGAAGCCTGGGAGATCCCACTCCAAAAAGCCTCCTCTCAAGAGACCCCCAACTCACTTCTCCCACATGCACCCACACAGATTCGGAGCATGGACATGCTCCCTTTTCATATATTTTCAGTTTCTTTTTCACTGCAATAAATATAAAATTGGCAATGCTCATACACCACAGCACAGTATTTCAGGCTTTAGCATACAACTGTAAACAGTGACTAGGTTAAAAAAATAAAGAAAGCTGGAAATTTCTTAACGAGAGACAATTCTTGTGGGGTGGGCATGAGCTACTCAAGATTTAGGGTTTTTGGAATTGTTTAGTGTTCAGGTTTAGACAGGTGCCCTCAACAGTCCAAACAGACTCAAGGTGGTTGCCAGAGTACTACTTGTGGTAGTCTAGAACAAGTGGGCAAAAAAACCCAAACAAAAACAAAAAAAGCCTTAGATCATCAACAATACATCTTCGATCTGCCACATTGTAGCATTGCCAGTTGCCATCTAGTGTAGCAGGACTGGAATGAAAATATCCTGGGAGAGGACAGAACAATATCTGGCTAGCTGCCTGGAAAGTTGGCCCCTTAATCACAATGACAACTAGATTTCACTTGGACAGTACATTAAATTATACACACACACACGTGTGTGTGTGTGTGTATAGTACAAAGACAGAAATCCAAATATTAAGCAAATTCTGTCATTGTAGCAAACTGGGATCTCAATCAAAGCAAAACAGATAAACACCTTTTGCCTAAAGCAGTGCAAAGAAACTGGGTAAGAAATGAAAGTGGACTCAATACCTGCACATTAGTAGTAGGGCAGACTTTATTTAAAAGGCTACTGGTTCGAATACTATTGCTTGAATAGCTCTGGTAGATATAAAATGTAGTAACATCTGAGGTTTATACACATAAGCAACGGAGCTAAAGGCCAGCTCACACAGGGTATCTGATCCTCAGTCAAGAGAGTAGTTAAAAGCGCATGCTCAGGAATAATCTAATGGGGGTTTGTTTGGAACATACTCCCACCCCCTGAGGAACAGTATAACATCGGGATAGGAAACTGTCTTTTTACACACAAAATTCTGGCTTAATTAATTCTCCTTCTGATACCTCAACTAAGAAAAAAATCTGTTTTGAAAAACTTAAGAACCTGGGCTACTGAAAATAAAAAAGAAATTTTAATACAGTAAACAAGTTTAGTTAAACACCATGTGCACTTTCTGTTGTTAATGAAGACATGATACATTCACAAATGTATTTTAAAAAAAGAAAAAACCCCAAAAATTCCTATTAAGAGGCCTAACAAGAAAAAAAATCAGCCCAAATTCTAGTCTTCTCAAATAGAAGTTGGCTCTTAGCACAAGTCAGCAAGCCTCCTCCAACACACAAAGCACTGCTGTTTGTCTTGCAAGCACAACATAAAATGTACGTCTTAATTTCTGAACTTGTAAGAAGAATTGTAAGAAGAATCACAACAGAGCATATTTTTATGGGTTACTTCAATACCCACCTGGTCCAGTTTAAAATATTTGTTTGTAGATCCAGTTTGAACATATTCCTTAGGTATACCAAACAACAAACCACCTCTTGACCTATTATTTTTTAAATGGTAGTTTTTGTAGCTCAAGCAAACCATTAATAATTATAAAGCGCTCTCGTGAAAGAAATTCTCAGATGAAGATACATTGTGGAGAAACCCTGAAAGTTAAACATACCTAGTTCTTTTTTACAAAAATGGTGGGATAAAGAGAGAATGTCTATTCTGAAGAGCAGCTTCACACTTGTTTCCCCGTGAAAAATGGCCAAACTCTTCTGAACTGATATAATTTAGACACTAAGCCAATAAAAAAAAAATAAAATATACACCTTAAGAGTCTATGAAACATGAAATGTCAGGGCTATGGAATGAGAAAGAGAGTTCTGGGTTGATCCCCCCACCCTTCCCCCCAAAAAAACAAATTGTAACATTTTTAGGGGAAAAATAAACAAATGAACTGAAATTCTGAGTATGGCTAGCATTACACAGACTCTATAGCACAGAAAACCACACAAGAAGGAATTACACATCAGTACTACCGTAAGAGTAATTGGCTGGGGACTTAATGCTTCCAACAACAGAGCTCATAAGGTCAAAACTGTGTTTTAAAAGCTAATAATGTCAACAAGGCCCAAAAATAAAAAAGGAGAAAAGGAGGTGTGAGGGGGAATAGGGAGGAAAGGCTGCATGCAAGGGTCTATTATAGACATGATATTCAGCAGCATAAAAACAATACCTCCAAAGAGTCCCCCAAATGAGACAAAACCTATTTTTCTCTGGTAAACATGGGAAAGGTTAAGAGAGTGCAATAAATTCACTTGAAACTATAGCATCTCCCATATTTCAATGACAATGCATATTCAATTCAATGCTGTATGTTAAGAAAACATTCAAATATATATGAGTAAAGCAAAATAAAAAAAGGCTAAATTATGAACCTGAAAACTGGAAAAACATATTTTAAAGCCAAGAGGTGTGATTCTGATTATTATATATGACATAATCCACAGAAAGAAGGGCCAAGAAAAGAATCTTCATTTTGTTCAGTCCTTAGGCCTGATGTTGTCTTAGGAAAAACAGTGATAATTCAATGACTGTGTCACACATATAACTAAAAAGTCCCCCTCTGGTTAGAAATGAATTTAAACGAAAATCTTCCTTGGCTAATTTTTCTCCCGAGTCAAACCAACCTTCTATGTACAGGACCAGTTTAAATCCCTCCTCCCCTTCAAACACTAGATATGAACATCCAGGAACATTCTACAATGCAAAGTGCCTTAAGAGAAGGATTCTGTAGTGCCAGTGATACAACTGATCTGAGGAAGCCAGGACGCTATTAACACTGATGGAGCCAGTCAGGCAATGGTGGTTTGTTTCTCTTCAGGTGTTTCCTCCAACAACTGCATGATCAGTTCATGAAGCGGTTTGCAGATCTTTGCATAGCCCCCTCCTGTGAGATGCAGAAAATCAAACATGTCGTGGCAGGAGATGGCACCGTCCGAGTGCACAAAGCCCCCATCTGTATCCAGGAGCTGAACATTGGCAAGCTTCGGCAAGGAAACCTTCAGGAGTTGGTTCACCTTGGCATTCTTTTGCCTCAAGGGGTTGGGCTTCTCACCTCGAGGTAACAAACCCTGGGGTGAAGTAGAGAAGAATGTAAGAGAAAAAAAAACAAAAAACAAAATTTCGCTCTACTTATTTATTTGTGATTTCAGATAATGCTGTAAACATTGGTCCATTTGACACTTTTTAGACCTTTCTGAACACTAGAAAGGTTTTAATGAAAATTCTGAGAATTCCTTCTCAGTTCTTTCATGAGTTCTTCTTCCTCCTGTTCCTTAATTGTTGGTATCCTTCAGAGCTGTTGTCTGTGTTCCCATTCTAAACACTTTATCCTAGATCTCCTCCTAAAGTCTCAAAACTGCGTATTAAACCTCCAACTACAGAACAAACTTGAATGTTCCCGAAGCACTCCCAACTTATGGCAGTGCCCTCAAACTGCTCCTTCTACATTCTTTGTAATGCCTGGTCATTCCAACATCCTCGAGTCTCTCATCCTACATTTCTATTTATCATTAAATTACTCAGCTTTTGCATCCTAAATTTTTTTTTGAAGATTTTTTTATGCATACAAGAGCTAGGGTATAGGCCAGAGATGCAGGGGGTGAGAGGATTCACCAGAGACAGAGTGGGGAACAGAACAGGCAGATCGACCAAAGCACACTGCTGAGGAAAGCAGCCGGTGAGTCAAGAGAGGTCTGTTGCGCCCTAAATTTTTTTTTTTTTAAAGCAAAGAAGGCATGTTCCATCCTTCAGGTTTTCTTTTTTAAAGATTTATTCTATTTATACAAGAACTGGGGTACAGGCCAGAGGTGCGGTGGGGTGGGGGAGGAGTGAGAAGATTCACCAGAGTCAGAGTGGGGAACAGAACAGGCTGATTCACTGTAATACACTGCTGAGGGGAGCAGTGAGCGAGTCAGGAAAGGTCTGCTGCGCCATGTGGGTCACCTCCCTGGCCAGGGATCGAATTCATGCTGCAGTAGCTACACACAGCTTTACAGGTTGTGTCTCAACTCCTTGTGCCACCAGGGAGGCCCCCTAAATGTTCTTCGAATCCATTTTGGTTCTAGATACTGAGATGGCTAAGGAACTTACCACTATCTATCTCAATTAAGGTAAACTCTCCTGGCTGGTCTCCCTAATGACAGTGTTACCTTCCCTTCAATTCTTCTTCCGTACAATCCTCAGAATAATCTGCTTATAACATATGGAACCTACACTACTACACAAGAGAAGTAAGAGTTGTAACAGATACTGTCTTGATGGATCAGTCACATATGGTAAAACAGAGACAGATGATAAACTAGTTTTTAACTTTTTGATAATATAAGCTAATACGTCAGATCTCTGTCTTTATACTATAGTAAATAAAAGCCTGCAAGAGCTTTTAAATAAAAGCCTGCAAGAGCATCAAATACTAGAAATGGCTTTTACAGAAAAGGTATTCTTATAAAACTGTCAGACCTTTCAGTTGGTTTATGATATCACACAGCAAGTTACTATCATGCAAAATTTCTGCCACTCACTTTTCTGAGAGAATGTGGTAAGAATTCTTAATTCACAAAAAAAGGTGTTCTACATGTATTCTATAAAAGAAAAAAATTTATACCCAAACTAAGTACTTGCTCATGTTTGCTTTTGCTTTTATTTTTTTCCAGCAAAATGTTGCACCCTTGATTATCAATTAATTGTGTGATTTTATAGTTCCAAAGGAGAACTGTAGAGAATGACGTGTCTGTTACCATAGTTTGATTCCCTCTAATCTTTGAGCCTAGGCATCTCAAAAATTTCAAAGATGTGTCAATCCTAAAGCCTAATTTACATGATTGTTAAAAGTATAATGATGTACATCTAATAATTAACAAAGAATAGCCCTTTCTGGTGACATATCAAAATCTGGTTAAGATAAAATGAGCAGGGCCTCCCCAGTGGCGCAGCGGTTGAGCGCTGGGTTGCCAAGCTGCCCGCAGCCTCTGCGGCGCCGGTTCGATCCCCGGCTGCTCCCCGGCCACCGGAGGAGGATCCCACATGGCTCGCAGACCTCTCCTGCCGCCCGCTGCTCCCCTCAGCAGTGTGCTTCGGTCCTTCTGCCTGCTCTGCTCCCCGCTCTGGCTCTGGTGAATTCTCTCACCCTCCCGCGCTTCCGACTGTACCCAGTGCATGTATAAACAAAACAAACAAACAAATAAAACAAATAAATAAACATGCCTCTATTTAAAAAAAAAAAAAAAGATAAAATGAGCAACTAGGAAGAACAGCCAATGAACAGTAAACATATATTGTTCTGTCAAAGACCATCACAGCAACAAAGCCATGAAGAATGGTGAAGTCTCAAAAAACAGGCATCATATTTGTGGGGATTTTCAAGCAAGGATGACATAACATTTTCCTAACTGTAACTGCGCAACATTTTCCTAACATGAGTATCAATTGTATGCCATGTGATTTTTTTTCCCATAACAGTAGCTGCTAAAATATTTTCATATTAAAGGAAACAAAATGTAAAAATAAAATTATGTTCCTGATGGCCTCACCATTTAACAGCTATTTTAATTTTTTGCTAAAAATCTATTTATTTATTTATTTATTTATTTATTTATTTATATAAGAACCGGGGTACAGGCCAGATGTGTGGGAGGGTGAGAGGATTCACCAGAGACAGAGTGGGGAACAGAACAGGCAGATTGATGAAATACACTGCTGAGGGGAGCAGAGGGCTTAACAGGAGAGGTCTGCCGCGCCATGTGGGACTCTCGTCCGGCCGGCTGGGATCGAACTGGCGCTGCAGAGGCTGCGGACAGCTTCACAGAGCTGCCTTCAACTGCCTGCGCCACCAGGGGAAGCCCTATTTTAATTTTGTTTCCTTCTCAACTGCATACATACTTTGAAGAAATTCTGAATATAATATACACATTGGTTCTTTTTATTTAAATACTTCATAAATGCTATTTTCACACAATCCTCAAAACTGTCATGTGATTAGTGCTATTATATTGAATGATTTATATAATCATTTCCTTATAGTGTGGACTAGGTTATTTCCCATGTTTTTAGCACTGTAGATTATACCACCGAGTATCAAATTTAAAAATCTGGTTGAAACAAAAAACATTTATGGAGTATTTATAAAGTAACATTCAGACAATATGTCCTAAGCAACTACCATGTACCAACGCTTGTAATCCAGAAGTGAACTTTTAACCACAATGTAATCCTTTTTGAAATAAGACTGGATATAAAGAAGTACATAAGGGCCTCCCAGGTGGTGCGGGGCAGCGGTTGAGCACTGGGTTACGAAGCTGCCCGCAGCCTCTGCAGCGCCTGTTCAATCCCCAGCTGTTCCCCGGCCACCGGAGGAGGGTCCCACATGGCAAGCAGACCTCTCCTGCCACCCGCTGCTCCCCTCAGCAGTGTACTTCGGTCCCTCTGCCTGCTCTGCTCCCCGCTCTGGCTCTGGTGAGTTCGCTCACCCTCCCGCACTTCTGACTGTACCCAGTGCTTATATGTATAAATCAATCAATCAATCTTTAAAAAAAAAGTAGTACATGAACAGTTAAATATCAATCTTTAAAAAAAAAAGTAGTACATGAACAGTTAAATACCATGTAATACAAAAAGTGAGGCCTGGCTCCCTAGCACCTTAAGGATAAAATCTGAACTCCTAACATGGCATATAAATTTCTACATAAACTGATTGTGGTAGCCTCATTCCCTTAACCATCCCAACCTCAAACTTTGATAACAACCCTAAAATTCTTCTAGAATCCTCCCCTTCACTTATTCAATACACACATAAACTTTGATCATTTTCTTTTTATTTTTCTGCAGTCCCTTCTTTTCTCACATTTCTTCATTTGTCTGGAGACAAGCTAGTTCTTTAAAACTAAACTTAGATGTCAACAATTATATCCAAAATGGACTGTTCTCCCCTTAATCCCATAAGGAGGCAGTTTGGTAACTCTTTTTATATTACTGTGTTCATGCACAGACTGTGAGCGACGCCTTACTCATTTTATATGCTCAGGACCTATTATGGTGCTTGGTACATGGAGATTTTAACATCTGTTGAATAAATATTTTCCTAATACTATCTCAGTAAAGAGCTGAACACATATCAGATTTCACTGAAACATGCATTTTTAGTTGGGCAAAGAATACTGACAGGTAAATTTTTACATTGAAATTGACAATCATTAATTTCTGAGACCATGAAGACTAATAATGCTATAACTATAAACAATAGCACATTCTGTTAAGGGTAGAACTATAAAGGGGTAAGACCATTTTCTTGCTGACTGAATTTCTAATGTTTTAGAGACTTTAGAGATTCTAATAAACACATGACCTTTACAAATTTACAATGAAAGAGAAACAGACCTAAGCCAATTTGAAACCCAAGGCTAAGAGACTCAGGACTAGGACAAGTATCATCTGTAATTTATAAAGTTACAAGACAATTAAAAAAAAAATTAAGACTACCTGAGGCAACAAACAAGGCAAACTTGTTTCACTTCTAAACAAGTATGAGCAAATAAAAGATGACCCCACAGTTGGTCTGGGAAATGCTGAGGTTGGTAAGACAATGGGATATATCAGAGAAGAGCTTCTCAGAAGTATTGAAAACTACTCCCACCTAAAAATTCTCCATATTCTTAAACAATCATGTTTCTAAATAGAGTCCTCACCTGACCTAATGACATCAAAGTCTCCATGCACCCAAGGACTACATACCAATACAATGATTTTGGCCTGTGGCTGCCTTGTGTTGATAAGTTGTACAATGGCCTCAATTCCACCTGCAACTTCCTCTGCCGTATTTTCATGGTTGTTCGTTCCTACCCAGACAACAATAACCTATAAATAAGGGGAGGAGGAGGAGAGATAAGTATTCAGAGAGAAAGGAATGTCTAATATTTAGATGTTTTATTCAAAAATCAAAGAAAGATGAACAGTTCAAATGGTGTTAGATAATTTCAACTGTGCAGTCACTTTAAAATAGATTCATGCCTCATACATATCAAGATGAATTCTAAGATTAATATTTGAGTGCAAAATTGTACTAGGAAGAAATAAGATTATTATTGTGGAGTTAGAAACAGTACTTAAGGGCCTCCCTGGTGGTGCAATGGGCTAAGCACCGCACTATGAAGCAATCCGCAGCCTCTGCAGCACGAGTTCGATCCCCAGCAGGCTAAGGAGCAACCCACATGGCACAGCAGACCTCTCCTGACTCGCCTGCTGCTCCCCTCAGCAGTGTATTTCAGTCAGTCTACCTGTTATGTTCCCCACTCTGTCTCTGGTGAATTCTCTCACTCCCCACATCTCTGGTCTATACCCCAGCTCTTGTATGCATAAATAAATCAATCTTAAAAAAAAAAAAAAAAAAAAGAGGGTCTCTCTGGTGGCGCAGGCTGTTGAGCCCCACACTGTGAAGCTGTCCACAGCCTCTGCAGCACAGGTTTGATCCCGGCCGGTTGGCGAGAATCCCACATGGTGCAGCAGACCTCTCCTATCTCGCCCCCTGCTTCCCTCAGCAGTGTCTTCGGTACGTCTGCCTATTCTATTTTTTTTTTTTTTTTTTGGGCCAGATGGAAGAGACATTTTATTTAAAGGCAAAGTACCCAAATGGCTCTCTGGAGTAGGTAATTTCTACTTTCACACTTATCCATTTACACATGATCCCCTAACCTTAATTTTCTTTCTTCTTAAGGGGCTGATTTGGATTGGCTTGTTAAAAATATGGAACGCTTCACGAATTTGCGTGTCATCTTTGCGCAGGGGCCATGCTAATCTTCTCTGTATCGTTCCAATTTTAGTATATGTGCTGCCAGAGCGAGCACCTGTCTGCCTATTCTGCTCCCCGCTCTGTCTCTGGTGAATTTTCTCACCCTCCCACACCTCGGACTGTACCCCAGTTCTTGTATAAATAAAAAAATCTTAAAAAAAAAACAATTAAGCATCTACATATCACAAAAATGTTTTTAAGTGAAATCTAAGACATCTGGGGGAAATACTTGCAACTCAAAGAAAAAAAAAAAAAAAAAAAGACTCCTCGACTAGACGTACCTTTTGAAATAATTAACAGATGTGCCCAGGGGAATGTAAAGGATTTCAACACATTGCTGCACTCATATACTGGGATGGAGGCTGAATGTATTTTTAACAAGTTTTTCTCTTAAAAAAAATGTGGGCATCCCTGGAGGCACAGGGGTTAAAGACACAGCGCTATCAAGCTATCTCTAGCTACTGTGACATGAGTTACATGCCCAGCCAGGGAGCTACCCACATGACGCAGCAGACCTCTCCTGACTCACCCACTCCTCCCCTCAGCAGTGTATTTCAGTCAACCCGTTTGTTCTGCTCCCCACTCTCTCTGCTGAATCCTCCCACCCCCTGCACCTCTGGCTTATACCCCAGTTCTTGTATACATAAATAAATAAATCTTTAAAAAAAATTTTTACAGTCATCACCTAGAAATGTAACAGCTTCCTATATGACTCCACAAGTAACTTCTACTCTGTCACAAAAGAATAGGTAAGTTTTGGGCCTCCCCGGGGGCGCAGCAGTTGAGTGCTGGGCTGCAAAGCTGCCGCAGCCTCTGTAGCGCCAGTTCGATCCCCAGCCACTGGCGCGCAGACCTCTCCTGCTGTGCTCGCAGCTCCCCTCAGCAATACTTCGTCAGTCTGCCTGTTCTGCTCCCCGCTCTGGCACTGGTGAATTCTCTCACCCTCCCGTGCATCTGACTGTACCCAGCGCTTGTATAAATAAATAAATAAATCTTAAAAAAAAAAAAAAAAGGTAAGTTTTTCTTTTAGAAAGGCAAAGAATAAAATACTTTCAATTGGGGCCTCCCCGGTGGCGCAGCGGTTGAGCGCTGGGTTGTGAGGCTGCCTGCAGCCTCTGCAGCGCCAGTTCGATCCCCGGCTGCTCCCCGGCCACCAGAGGAGGGTCCCACATGGCGCGCAGATCTCTCCTGCCACCCGCTGCTCCCCTCAGCAGTGTACTTCGGTCCCTCTGCCTGCTCTGCTCCCCGCTCTGGCTCTGGTGAATTCTCTCACCCTCCCGCGCTTCTGACTGTACCCAGTGCTTGTATAGATGAAATAGTTAAGTCTTAAAAAAAAAAAAAAAAAAAAAAAAATACTTTCAATTGACACAACTGTTATCAGTGGCTCAACTGATAAATGGAAAAAGGTGTTTTTTCCCCATGTTTGAGGTTGAAAAAAATCATATACAGTCTGTCACTTCAGGACCTTTATAATGTGACAAAGTACTGGGTACATGTTTGTTTGTTTTTAAAGATTTATGTATACATACAAGAACTGGAGTACAGGCCAGAGGTGTTGGGATGTGTGAAAGGATTCACAGAGTGGAGAACAGAACAGGCGGATTGACTGAAATACACTGCAGAGGGTAATAGCAGGCGAATCCGGAGAGGTCTGCTGCACCATGTGGGTTTCTCTCTGGCTGCCGGGATCAAACTCATGCTGCAATGGCTGCAAATAGCTTCATAGGTCAGGTCTTAACCCCTTGCGCCACCAGGGAGGCCCAGTACTGGGCAAATGTTTATGGTGAATTATTTATTCACATCTGCTTCAAATTTTTTTCAGAAGAACTTAAGAGGCCTTGACTATCAATTTGTTTACATGGTTAAATAGGCCCAAAATTACTCCCTGAAGGGGGGCCTCCCAGGTGGCTCAGCAGTTGAGCGCTGGGTTGAGGAGCTGCCCGTGGCCTCTGCAGCGCCGGTTTGTTCCCCGGCCGCCTGGTGAGGGTCCCACATGGCGCGCAGGCCTCTCCTGGCGCTCGCTGCTCCCCTCAGCAGTGTACTTCATCAGTCTGCCTGTTCTGCTCTCCGCTCTGGCTTTGGTGGATTCTCTCACCCTCCCGCGCCTCTGACTGTACCCAGTGCTTGTATGAATAAATGAAAATCTTAAAAAAAAAAAAAAAGACAAAATTACTTCCTGAAGGGAACTTGGCTCTGCTCTTAAGGCCCACCTCTAAGCAGTTTCTCCTCATAAGGTATCAGGTCCACAGAACAGCCCACCTAATCAGCATGGAATCTTCTTCTACAGCTGAAGAGAGTACAAGTATGACCAGGGATAACAACAGATGGTCTTTTTAATTAAATATGTATTTGGAATGTTCTTAAGTAACGAAAATATCATTTCCCTTAAAGAGGCATGAAGCTGAAATAGTGAAAAAACACTTTAAAGAAGCAATTTTTTTTTTACTTACCAGTTTTAGGCAATTTGTACCTGAAAAAGACACAAGATTAATGATAGTCTTTAAAAAAAAAAGTTCTTTTCACCTTAGGTTTAATATTTTCCAGTTCTCCATTCTTTAGTCTCCACAAAACATGTCTTGTTGTATCTCCCCCAATTCCAAAATTCAGAGCATGAAGTGGAGAAAAGAGCTCTCGCCAAATCTAAAAAGAGAGAACTCAATTTATTCTGGGTAAAATCAGTAGGGAAATTCTTTACCTGCAGAAATATTGAGGCAATGGAAGTAACATTTCATGTTTTGTATTCCAACATTACAGTGCAGATGGTCAATCACCCTCTGTTTAAAGGGCTTTGCATATGCCATTGTGTGACTCAGTTCTTGATGCAGCACTGGTCTTAGCCCCAGAACTGAATCACAACTCAACCTGATGACCCCTTAAGAGGTACCAATATTTATAATAAAGTTGTGATTCAATAAACTCCCTTTCATTTGTTCAGTCATTTAAAGACTAAGGTAAATAAAACAAACAAAATGAAATTTTGAGTGCTGGAGCAAAAAGAATAGTTATCTTTTCTTTAAAATTTCCTTTGATAGGGCCTAGCAGTTAGCGCTAAATAGTACCCCGTGCTAAATCCCACATAACAGCTGATCAGCAGTGTACTTCGGTCTTCTGCCTGCTTGTTCTGAATCTCTCAGCTTCTGACGTAAGTGCTTGTATAAACAGACACAAACAAATAATAAATCATGCCTCTATAAAAAAAAAATTTTCCTTTGATATTACTCTTAACCCCTAAAAACAGATTTGGAACAGCTTGCTGTATATAAATATATAAATATAAAATAATGGTGAAAACTGTAACTAAGACAAATATAAATGAGCAAATACAATCAAGAAAATAGTAAAATACAAGTAAGTAGAAACTCATGATGAAGACAATACAGGTAAATATAATGTGAAGCTTCTTGGAAGTCAAAGCAAAAAGGAAGTTTAGTTATAAACAATGCTAACTTTTTTTTTGTCTCATCAAGTATGAAGAATCCCACTAGGTGGGTGTGACTCTCATACGCTAATCTAGAGCTTCTCTACAGTGTCAAGGGTAAGTGTATAGGTTCAGCTTAGAAAGTCTGTTAGCAACATATGGGTTCACATTAGTTGCCAAGAACACCCTCACCCCTTCCACCTTTACCTCATATTGTTGCATTAACTGCACCATTGAGTCCCCCACAAATAGTACATCAGGCTCTTTGTCTTTACAGTCCAGGACAAATCTGTTGTGCTGGTTTGAAAAGAGAAATTTAGAAGGTGGTTATTCTTTCCTTGTGCGATATCTTGGTCTAGACAAAACTGTTGTTCAACCAGTTACATACTATGTTGCTAAGCATTCCATTTGTCTCTAAAACTTACTCCTCTCAATCTGCAATTAAATGTTGCAATTTTTTTACCCACCCTTACCCTATTGATCATGTAAGTAAGTGCTTCAGAAAACAGGGATTCTACTGAAACCAGAAGAGAAAACTACATTAACATGTTTTTTTAGAAGTTTTTCTTTCTCTCAAATTTAACCATGGAAACATATTATTTTAACTGTACTTAACAATATGCATTTTTAAGCTGAAAGGATGAGATGAACAAAAATAAAACTCCAGTTAATGAATTAGGTGCATTTTCACATCATGTCAACTTTCTACTGCATGAACTGAAGTCACCAACTATTAATATATCTCCGTACTAACAGCTCAGTTTTTAGAGTGTCTTGGAATTTACACTCTACCATTCTAAAGGTTTAATTACTCTACATTTTCTTTTTAGTTACAGCAAGTTTGGAAAAATAGAAAAGGAACACCAAACACCTCTAATTCTACCATCCTAACTCAGCAACTTTACTATATATGGTATTTTCTTCTCATCCTTTTTCATACACTCTCCCTCTCACCCCCATGCCATAGCTGAATCATTACGTACACCTCTTTCTGGCTTCTTTGGCTTTGGGGACAGAAAAACCTCATTCAAATCCTAGCTTGTCTACTTTGCAACCCAATGACCTTAAGGAAGTACATAATCTGAGTCTTGTTTTTCCCATCTGCTGGCAACTTCATTTTAGACTTGCGAAGACGAGAGTTCTATGAAAGGGGCTCAGCTGCTGGTGGGCACCCAGTAGGTAATAAATAGCAGTCATGACCAACTGCACCTAACGTTACATGAGAATTATTTTTCTATGGAGCTACATGACTTTCATAGTCATAATTTTTAACTGCCAGATAATATACCACTGAACACACCCATTAAAAAAATTATTTTCCTATCAACAGAATTGTCAGTAATACTGTTATAAAGAAGTTTACATGTACTCTATTTTTTACATACTGGGAATTCTTAGGTCAAACTTTCATGGATCTTGGATAATATCTTCAAATTCTTAGCCCAAGGGGCTATATATCACAACTGGTTTTATTATAACCATACTTGCTCTGGATATTAAACTTTTTCTTTCTTCTTTCTCTTCCCATTGTTCTAATTTGTATTTTTTTTTTTTTTTTTTTTTAAATATTTATTTATTTATTTATACAAGCACTGGGTACAGTCAGAAGCGCGGGAGGGTGAGAGAGTTCACCAGAGCCAGAGTGGGGAGCAGAGCAGGCAGAAGGACCGAAGTACACTGCTGAGGGGAGCAGCGGGCGGCAGGAGAGGTCTGCATGCCATGTGGGACCCTCCGCCGGTGGCCAGGGAGCAGCCGGGGATCGAACCGGCGCTGCAGAGGCTGCGGGCAGCTTCGCAACCCAGCGCTCAACCGCTGCGCCACCGGGGAGGCCCTAATTTGTATTTTTTGAGGGAAAAAAATGTTAAAAACTTCCTGCCCTGTTTTATTAAGATACTTATCTAGTGATACCATGAGGATATTTTTATGATAATATAATAAAAAACATCAATGCCTCATCTATAATATTTACTTGATCTATAACATTTAGTATTTTCCTTAGTCTGCTGCTGAGCCTTCTTTTTTAGCTTAATTTTTTGGTATGATCTGTACTGAGTTTACCTACTGCCAAGTCTTTCATTATCACCCTTAAAATAAATCTTTTATTATGGAAGATATCAAACCTACACAAAAGCAGAGAGAAAACATAATGAACCTACATGTACCCATCACCAACTACAGCAATCACCTAATTACAGCCACTATTATTTCGGTCATTTCCCAAACTACTGCTCTATCCCATCCTCAGATTTTAAAGCAAATTGAAGACTGTATTTAAAAACCAAGATCTGTTTTTTCCCCAATAATTAGTGTTTTAATACTTAGTAAAGTTAGTCCTTCCATATTATGCAACTTAAAAAATATAAATAATCTTGTTTTTCTTCCATTTCACTATTTTTTTCCCAATCAGCACAATTTAAAATCTGCTAATTTATACCAAGGAACAAATGGCTTCTAGGTCTAGTTATTATTTTTCATAGTTATAAATGATGAATGCTCATTAATGAAAAATGGGTAAATCCATTTTGGTGTTTTCATTTATAGCAATGAAGTACTAAAGAAAAAAGAGTAAACTATAGCTACACTTTTAATACATGATATACTGCAGAAAAATACATTCAGAACGACAGATGCAATTTAAAGACATGGAAAATAATATGTGTTTTATATACATACAAATATATGTAATACGTAAATACATGAAAATACCCAATTTAGGATATTGGTTTGGGGATGAGTTGTCAGGAAAGAAAGAAATATGGTCAATTACCTAAGAAGAACATAAATTCTATTAGCAATCTTTTGGGCCAATGGAAAATACAGATATTTCATATTACTTCTTTCATAATACTTTTTTAAAAGTACAAACTAGGAAGCCTAAGTAAGAATAACTTAGTAATAATCATATGAAAACATAAAAAAAAAAATAGTACTACTCTAAATAAGTTAGCTGACAGGCTTTTAAGTATGGAAAGACAAGAAAAAATACCCTGAAGGGTATTAACACTGAAGTACAAAACTTGTAACTACTTAAAATAACACAGACCTTGTTATTCAAAGAGGTAATACAATTGGAAACAAAATTAAATATAGTCATAGACAAACATGGCAGTTTATTAAGAGGAAAGTAATAAAAATGCTAAAAAAAACAATGGGACACATGAAAAAGAGGCCAGCATGAAAGGATTCCTACCTGCTAAATTACAATGAATGATAATCCAGTGAATAAAATAAGAACCCAGGAGTCCATACTATAATAAATTGACAAGACATGATGTAGGCCAACACAATCTTAACCAAGTGGTAAACACTATCAACGAGACCAAGCATCATCATGGCCTTCTATGGGATGCACTGATATTCCTGCCAAAACTGTAGTCTGAATCTTAATTATGAGGAAGAAACCAACCCAAATTGAGAGATAGTCTACAATAACAAATATTTTACTATTCCAAGATGTCAATATCATGTGACTCTAGACTGGGAAGAAATCTGACACAAGAACATCTTTGGGACAACTGGAGAAATGAGGGTATGGCTTCTGAATTAAGCAATCAATGCCAAATTTTCTGATTTTAATAATTACACTGCAGTTATGAAGAAAACGTCTTTCTTAGAAAACACTAAATATTTAGGGATGAAGGAATGAGGCCTGCAACTTATTATCAAATGGTTCAGAAAATACAGTACGTTGGTATACACATACACGAACAGGTACAGACACAATAATTAGGCATTTATGACAATTGTTAACAACTGGCAAATCTAGACAACGCTTATAGGGTGTTCTTTTTAAAATTTTTGTATTAATTTGAAATTACTTCAAAATTAAAAAGCTTAAAAACGAGAATACTATAGGGCCTTCCTGGTGGTGCAGGGGTTAAAGTCTCAGGGTTATCAAGCTATCGCCTACCACAGCAGTCTAAGTTCAATCCCTGGCCAGGGAGCTAGACCACATGGTGCAGCTAACCTCTTCTGTTTTGCCCTGCTCCCCTTAGCAGTGTATTTCAGTAGATCTGCCTGTTCTGCTCCTCACTCTGTCGCTGGTGAATTCTCTCACCCCCTGTACCTCTGGCCTAAACCCCAGTTCTTCTATGAAAGAAAGAAATAAAATCTTAAAAAAAAACCCAAAAACCCAACAACTCCCTTTCGAGCTTGGGGCAAAAGACTCTCAAACACTGAAGTGGCTCATCTCATGTGAATAATACATACACACTTCTTTTACCTGAGACATCCACCTGTCATCTCCTTGAATATCTTCTGCTGCATGTGGAATAGCTGCTGGATTTGAGTCTCCTTGGCTCATTCTACACCTGAGGAAAAAAATGTCATATTTCACTCATTTTATTATGTGTTACCACTTAGGTGTTAAACATAAAGTTTTAAACAATAATTTAAGATGCATTGTGGTTTTGTCTAGAAACTAACCAACTGAAGTTTATTTTCAGCAGAGATAAGTTCGATAACATGACAACTATTTACATCCCATAAATATCCAGCATCACTAAACTTCCAGACAGATTTGAATGTCATTAAAAGCAATACGACATTTAAAAAATCTGTTCCAACTATAGTCTTTACATCTATATTAATCTTGTATGACTACTTACTGTAAGTATCAAGTGACACTACCAACTAGACACTTACAGTCCATTAGTGCCCTTCAGACTGAAAGTTACACATTTAAGGATAACTACACTGCTGATTATATACTTTAAACAGCAAACACTGGATATTAAACATCAGGCAAGTAACTGTACTACAGAGTACAATAGATAGACTTTGATACTAGTTTTTTTTTTTTTAATATGAAACCACCAATTTATTTATTTATTTATTTATTTATTTATACAAGCACTGGGCACAGTCAGAAGCGCGGGAGGGTGAGAGAATTCACCAGAGCCAGAGCGGGGAGCAGAGCAGGCAGAAGGACCGAAGGACACTGCTGAGGGGAGCAGCAGGCGGCAGGAGAGGTCTGCGCGCCATGTGGGACCCTCCTCCGGTGGCCGGGGAGCAGCCGGGGATCGAACCGGCACCTCAGAGGTCGCCGGCAGCTTCGCAACCCAGCGCTCAACCGCTGCGCCACCGGGGAGGCCCAATACTAGTTAAATAGACTTTGATAAATAGACTTTGGTACTAGTTTTTAGCAAATGTTTATTAGGTATTTTTATTTTTAATGGGTCTCTACTAAGAAACTTACTAATGATCAGCCCAAACATGGGTTGATCTGATAATGAAGTCTGATAAGTGAAATTCAGAAAAATTTAAAATGCTGCAATATTCCAAAAGGAAAATAAGGAATAAGACTGTTTTCAGTCAATTCTGGAGAATACTTACTAAAAGACATTTTAGGCTCAAGAGGTCATTTGGTAAATGCTAAGGATGCTAAAAATGAGGAATAGCTGGGATTTGGGACACATTTATTTAGATTACTAAAATTTGTAACTATCAGAAAACTATATATAGATATACATAGTCCCATTACACACACACTCACACACACTCTTTCTCTCTCTCCATATATATATATATATCATTCCTTAATAGGACTCCAGTCCTCACAAAAATACTACAAAAACAAGGATCAGATAGTTTAGGTAATAATCACAGTGAGTGACTGAAATTAGGGTTGCATGACCCCAATAACATTAAATCTGGCCCACTTATCACAAACCAGTTCATGCTGACTCCTTAAAGGGGACCTTCTAGTTAACCATTTCACTCAAAAGACACCTACCACACTGAATTAAAACATCAATACATAAAGTGGTGAGAACTGTAAAATGAACATGTATAGCACCAATCAGACTATGGGATCTCTCTGGGATCTCACTGTTGAAGAAAGGCGTGGAAAATGAAAAGACAAAGGAAAAAAGCAAAAATGATTAAATAATTAAAATAGCCACATAAATTCATTCAAAATTTGAGTTTAGGGGCCTCCCTGGCGCAGCAGTTGAGCCACGGGGCTGCAAAGCTGCCCGCAGCCTCCGTAGCGCCATTCGATCCCCGGCCACTGGGGAGGGTTCCACATGGTGCGACAGACCTCTCCTGCCGCGCCCACTGCTCCCCTCAGCAGTGTACTTCAAAGGTCTGCCTGTTCTGCTCCCCGCTCTGGCTCTGGTGCATTCTCTCACCCTCCCGCACTGCTGACTGTACCAGTGCTTGTATAAATAAATAAATAAATAAATTTAAAAAAAAAAAAGCAAAAAATTCGAGTTTATTTTTGATTTTGATTTTTAAGTCAGTAAGATTTTCTATGCCTTCTATAGAAAAGTTTCTTGGGATCTAAGTTCAATTCTAGATTTGTCAGGCAATTTAGATTAAATTGACAGGGTGCTTATTACCAAGTTTTAATTTTTAAAACATCTTTCGTCTCTGCTGATCAAAAAACTTACTAGCTAAGTTAGGACAGAAAGGGGCAAACAACTTATCCAATCTTACGGATTTCAAAATTAGAAATACAATATAAAAAAGTATAGCAACAAACAATTTAATTTTCCACTTGCTAACTGAGTAAGCCTGCTTCCTAACTTTTAAAATAGATTTTTAAAAACCTACCAATTTCGGGCCCCCCGGTGGCGCAGCGGTTGAGCGCTGGGTCACGAAGCTGCCCGCAGCCTCTGCAGCGCCAGTTTGATCCCCAGCTGCTCCCGGACACGGCCACCGGAGGGTCCCACATGGCGCACAGACCTCTCCTGCCGCCCGCTGCTCCCCTCAGCAGTGTACCTCGGTCTTTCTGCCTGCTCTGCTCCCCTCTCTGGCTCTGGTGAATTTTCTCACCCTCCGCGCTTCTGACTGCACCCAGTGCTTGTATAAATAAATAAATAAATATTTAATAAACAAATAAATAAATCTTAAAAAAAAAAAGCCATCAAACTATGCAAAGATTACCATGCAGCTTTCATTTAAAAAAAAAAAAAAATAAAAACCTACCAATTTCATTAATTTGCTCCCCTATACTGTCCTACCTGGAGAAACAGTTAACATGTTAACCGACACAGAGTTTAATAGAGAATATAATTAAAGGATCTCTACTGAAAAGGAGAAAAGTAATCTGTCCTAATCTCACTATATAATTATATAATGGAAACTATTTTTCCTGGGGATTATTTCAAGATCAAGGATGAGAAACTGTGAATATGAGCTGTCTTCCTTATGCATAATTCAAATACATCCCTCACTACTTAAGACAAGATATAGACACTTCATTTGTTTTTGGAATACCAAGTTCAGATCTTGTTGAGAAACTTAAAAAGGATTTTGGCAAACTGGAGGGTGATCAGGAGGAAAAGAGCCAAGATGATGAGAAATTTGAACCCGTCATGTTAGAAACAGTTGAAACAAACAGGTGTGTTTATAATCAGGAAAAAAAAATCAAAAAAAACAAATGGTTGGGGAAGAGGAAGACACAGAACAAAAGAGCCATCAAACTATGCAAAGATTACTGGGAAGAGATTATCAGACTTATTCTTCATGTCCCAAAGCAGGAAGCCAGGGTCTGTAGGTAGTAGCATGTACAGTGAGACAAATTTCTAACAAAATGGCATGGCCTGTGCACAAGGTAGATTCCACCAAGGAGATTCAAAGTGGTTAGGAGAACACAGAATAGGAAAGCTTATAGTGGACTAAAGCATACAAGCAAAGACTGGATCAGAGTAATGAGGTCCACACACCTCCAGAGGTTTTAGAATTATTTTTGAAATGCACCGCAATATAGGTATACTTATTTTTAAGTTAAATGTGTGAATTACTGTTAATCTGTACATTACATATTAGCAAAGATTACTTTTTTCTTTTTAACAAAAATAAAGAAGTTCTAGTGTTTTTTCCCCTGTATTCAAATGGAAATCTTATGTATCCCTGGGAGAACATATACTCTACTTTCAAGACCAATAAAAACAACAATAACTCTTTAGATCTATGATTCAATTTACAGACATAAATATTCAGAGCCCCTTCAACAGGTAAACTGATCAAGAATTATAATTGTAATAACCACAATTAAGATTTATCATAAATTTATTATTTATAAGACACTTGTGTAGGAGCTTTGTTATTTAAATAAAACTGAAGCTGGGCAAGATTTAAGGATCCTACTCTATCTATAAGTGTAGAGGTGAGATTTGAACTCAGGGTACCATAACTCCAAAGTCTATTATTCTTGGGCAAAGGATGTCAAGCTCTATCTAGAAAAAAATATATGGAGTAGTGATGAATTCTAATTTAGTAAATGTATTCACTTAAATTTCTATTATTACTACCCAAATTTAATGGCATTCTGACGCTACCCTGATTAAAACCTCTCAGTCTCAAATTTCTCCATGGGCAAAAAAAAAAAAAAGGCATACTGCTCACTGGTGGCGTAGCAGGTTGAGCTCAGCGCTGTGAAGCTGTCCGCAGCCTCTGCAGTGCAAGTTCGATTCCTGGGCGGCTAGGGAGATAGTCACATGGCGCAGCACACCTCTCCTGCCTCACCCACTGCTCCCCACAGCAGTGTTTTCGGTGGTCTGCCTGTTCTGTTCCCCACTCTGTCTCTGGTGAATCCTCTCATCCTCCCATGCCTCTGGCTTGTACCCCAGTACTTGTATAAAAAAAAAAAAAACTTAAAAATTTAAAAAAAAAAAAAGCTATACTAACAGAGAAACTGAGGAACAAATTATTTATCTGAGGTCACCAGGTAGGTAGAACTGGGAGAGAGGGCAGTTGTTCCCAATTCACTAGGTTTTTTTTTTTCCTTTACAAATACAAGGTCATATTTCTTCCCTTTCTACAAGGGCAAAATATTGAGCAAAAATTTGTTTCTTTGTGCATTCAGAAACTTGGATTTTGTACTATTTTGCCAAATCAAAGTCTTACAATACAAAGTAGCTTCCATAGTTGTACTAATATCTACAGCTTGGGACCGCTTTTAAACAGCAGGTAAAGAAAAACGGAGCCACAAATCCATGCAATTCCCCTTTAACAACCTGGCTTGAACTATCCAAGCTAGGAGACTTTATATATTTAGAGGATAATAAATCATTTGGGAGTTAATTACCTAAACTGGTGTATACTTACAATAAAAATGAAGAATGAAATCAGGAGCCATCCAGAGAACAGCCCATGCTGGGGCCACAAAAATTTGGTGACTTTGGCTTTCCTGCCTCAGTTTACTCAGTGATGGTAACAGCAGCAGTCAGAAGAGTGACACTTTCATCGGTAACCACAAGGAAAGGACCAACTGGGAGGTATGTGACTCCCATCTCTCCTTACTGGTTCTTAATACTCTCCCCCATACCAAGTCATTAACTCCTGAGATCTCAAACAGCCGGTTCAGTTAGAAAAAACTCAGAATGGAGATTAAGGTCGCAAGAACAAGTTTTAATTTACCTAGATGCTATTCCAAGGAGGCTTTAATTAGCCATTAAAATGAGTTCTCTGGAAAAATGGCTAAGCAATTTGCACAGTATTTCTCAATTTACCCTCATTTTCTATCTTTTTTATTTGGACTGTGACACTAAACCACCAGTTTTCAGACGCTTATAGGAGACCAGTTCCAACAACAAAGAAATACAAATTCTCAAACTAAGCTGGAAGTTTATTCTATTTTTAAAAGATTTATTTATTTATGCATACAAGAGCTGGGTTGTAGGCCAGAGGTGGGGGAGGTGAGAGGATTCACCGGAGACAGAGTGGGGAACAGAACAGGCAGATCTACTGAAAACACTGCAGAGGGAGCAGCCGGGAGACAGCAGAGGTCTGCTGAGCCATGTGGGTTAGCACCCCAGGCCTGGGGATTGAACTCATGCTGCAGTGGCTGGCTATGCTAGATAACTTTCATAGAGACTTAACTCCTGTGGCACCAGGGAGGCCCTGGATGTTTCTTTAGTTTAACCAGGAAAGTCATGAAGGGGCAAAGTTTGACTAAGAAAAGTTCATCAATGTTCTAGAGTTTCACTCTGAGTCCGAGGGTCCTCATTGGCAGGGCAGTGGCTGTGATCCTGGAGGGCAGGCAGGCCTCATTCTGAATATCCTGCCTCAGTGGCCTGGTGTGTGGGTCCCTTGGTTCCAGCGCATCCATAATTTATTATCAAATGCCCAAGCCAACAAATTAAAGCACAATGACTTCCTACTCCTCCCCTGCTCCCCCACAAGGAGGCAACCTTTAAGTCAGAACAATGTGCCCAGGAGAATCTAAAGACACCAAGCAGATCTAAGGCAAAGCCTTTCTGAAACGCTCAGGGACAACAAACCTAGGTATTTTCTGCTTTCTCCACATCTTTGCCTCTCACCCCCTTCCAACTTAAAGCTATACAATAGGAGGTGCTAGGCTGGATCCAGGTGGGCTAATTAAGAGGTCAAAGCTTCAAGTATTTGATTTTCTTAAGGTGTGTATATAAATTAAAAAAAGCAACGCTGGCCTGAGAGTTATGGAAAGCAGAAGAGTGAGTCATCGCGCAACGGGTTTATCACAAACTTGTAGGACAGAAGGGCCTGATCTGGTAAGTGGAAATGGAGCAGGTGAAAAAAACACCAAAACCCCGGCCCCTAGGTCCATTTACCTAGCAGGTTGACCTTGGGCAAATCACCAACCTCGCTAGACCGCACCTCGAGGATGAGGTGCTGGCTGGACAGCCCTCTAAGGAGGGATCGATCCCTGCAGCGCCGTGACAGTCAGTCTATGGCTTTTTGAAAACATTAGAAGAGGACGGACAAGTTTCTGAAGAGGTGAAATTCTTCAACACCAGAGGGAGGAAGAAAATGCTCAGTCAGAAAACAGAGAAACTGGTTTGGGCCCGCGCTGCAGGCCTCCCAGACAGGAGCAGCGCGGAGAGGCCGGCCAGAGGTCCAACCACCCGAGGGGGAGCACAGGCAACAGCTGAGCCCGGCGGCAGGGAGTCGCTCCACGCGGTGCTTGCAGTGCCGAAGGCCCCTCCAGAAGAGCAAGGGGTGCAGGGTGGGGGCTACCCCGGCGGGTGGGCAGGGGAAGGGCGGTGCGCCCCGCCACGGTTTTCCTGCACGCGCAAAGGCGGAGTGGAGGAGCAGGTCAGCGGGCAGAGGAGAGGCGACAGGTTTGGGGGTAGGATGCTGAGGAAAGGATCCCAGGGGCGACGCGGGGCCTGGAGGTCCAGGGAGCAGCGCGGGGCGGCGGGCAACCAACGCGGGGCCCGCGGAGAAGGCGCGCGCGCGAGGCCCCCAAGGGGCGGCGGGGGGGGGCGCGCGGTGGGGGAGGGGCGGCCGCGGGCCTCTCACAATAACAAATCGCAGTCCCTCCCAAGCCCCGGCCCTACCGCTCGGGTCCCCGCTATCCGGGGTGCACTCACTCAGGCAGGGGTCCGTGTGGGCCCCAAGCGGCTGCGGCGTCGGCGGGAGGCGCGTCTGTTGCTCGCTCAGCCCCGGCGGCCCCGCTCCGGCGCGTCCCTCCTCGGGCCCCAGCACCAGCAGCAGCGCCCCCACTTCCGGTTCCCCCCGCCGCGGAGGCAAATGGCTTCCGGAAGTCCCGCCCCATCCCGCCCGGCCCGGCCTGGCGCGCCGCTCCCGCTCTCCCTCCCGGGGGGCGCTCGGGGCTGCGCCAGGTGTCCCGCCACGCCCCGCGAGGTGGCCCGCTTTGTTCTCCACCCTGCGCTCCTCTGGCTCGTCTGCGCGACTCGGGCCTCTCTGTCTGGCCTCCAGGGCGCCCCGCCATCCTGCGGGAATGTCCCCGCTGTGTAGACATGGCTTTCGGGACAATGTACGTGACCTCACACTGACGCCATTCCCTTCCCACACAGACACCCTGGGCTTCGTTCCCCCCCCCCCTCCCCCGGTGGAACAAACCAGACTGCTGGAGTGGGAGGGATAGAGGGCCTCATGGTTAATAAAGCAGTCCCCTGCGTTAGGAGGGGAGTTTTCTGGTTTTATGATGAATGTGGGGATTTTAGGTGACCACCACCCCATGATGGGGTGGTGAGTTGCCACAGCCTTCCTAAATGGTCCATCCAGTTTAGGGGAAGACACAGCTACAAAATGAATATCGAATAGAGTGTATGCCAAACGCGGGGTCTGTCAGAGTAGACAGCCCTGCACAACCTCGTAGCGAAACCTTTGTTAAGGATGGATAGTATTCGTTTAAACCTATGCCAGGGAATAAGGTAGAGCCTTCTGGAGCTCAGAAAATGAGTGTTGATTTTGCTGACAGAATCTGCTGACAGAATACTACAAGAGCTTTTTCATGATCTATCAAATTGTTTTTCAGATCACCCCTGTCAAGTGGTACTAAATTCATCATATGAAATGATGTCTTCATACAAAATGAGTTTTACGTTGCTAATTTACCTGCAGATGCTCACACAATATATGGCACACCAGTAGGTAGGTGTTCAGTTGATGTTTGTTGTCTTAATGAAAAGAATTTGTATTTGGGGAACTCAGCTGATGGTGTAAAGAGGCAGCCCATAAATACGTTGATAACAGGAGAGAAAGGGCTTGAATTAGTCTCTAGGGATTCATTCAGAATAGCATGTTTCCCCAGTTTTAACATTGGACACACTTTACGGTGATTGCTACTTTAATACACTGTCTTCCCTGCTTTGCTATACTCTCTGATTCTGTGGGTCCCGGCCCCTGACTTAGTGGCTGATCCATTGTAGAAACTCTAAGTGCTGCTGAATGAGGAATGAATGATCAAGGGTTGAATTTGTGCCTTTGTGGAACCCATGGCCCATCTTTATACTTTTTTGTTTTCTATTTTTAAATTAACAAACATAAACAAGGGAGGTGTGCCCCTAGGAAATACTATACCTTCTTAAATTAGCCTCTCAAATGTTTACATACCTTCATAGCTCAGTCTGTTTTTGGTGTTTTGACAAAATCTCTTATGTCATTGAACCCTGAAATTTATTGAGAGCTCAACTCCTTAATTTGTTTGAGCTTTCTAAATAATTTATAGTTTCAAAAATATGCAACTGGTACTGTGGAAATGACCATTAAGTAGGCTTCAGGGTGCCCTGGGTTCTTGTCTGAGAGCTTCTGCTCATTTGACTTCTTTAACCTTTTCTTCCCCCAATGTCTGTAAGAATAAAAGGACTATATCATTGCTAAAGTCCTTTCTCAGCTCTTACCCTCCCTTCTGATACATGGGGGAATATAATTCTGGTGGCATAGACACTCTATCTCACTACTCATGCTTCCCACACGCAGTCTCCCATCCCCAGGAGGCCCCATTCACAGTCTGTGAGTGGTGAGAAGTAAAAATAACTGTCATCTAACTATGAGACAAATTGGCTGAAAACTATCAGGAGAGTTTGCCCTACAAGTTATTTTTCCATTAACGCTGATGGGTTTTAGAATTCCACATTTTTTTTTATATCTATCTATCTGTCTGTCTATCTACATCTATAAGTATATATATATTTTTGGGGGGGGGTCAAAGGGAGTTTTAGTCTTCTTAACAAAGAAAAATAAAGAGAAGGTATCCACACATGTATAATTAAAATGTGGACACAAATTAGACAAAAAAGTTAAGTGTTAATTATTTGGTGGGAATATGAATGTTGTGTTATTCTTGTACTTGTCTGCATCTTTCCAAAACAAAAATATCTGAACCTCAAGAGAGTATGTCACCATCCTGGGATGTATATTCCAAGGCTGGGTGCCATGTGTCACCAAGCTCTGCATGGTGGCTGGGTGCCATGTGTCCCCACCCAGCGTGGTAGCTCTCCACATTCCTTAATCTGTTCTCCCTTATGACAAAATGCCAACCTAAAGAAAGAAAATATATAGACCCTGAGTAGATGTCTGTGGATAGATAGGAGTCTTCAGATGGGTTAGAGTGAATGTGATCAAAAGTCAATCTAGGGCTTTGGTAATGAGAAGTGTTGAAACATCACCTAAGTGGCCTGGAATTTAGGAGACTACTTGGCAATAATAAAGCTGAGATATTTCAGAGGACCTGGCATGTCAGACATGAAAAGAGGGAAAAAAAGCTATGTGAACTAAGAATGGATATGCAGTATGAATTCAGGATATTTCTATGGGTAGAACCTAGGATCAGATGGTTTTTATAACAGGAGTTTCAAATTTTGTTGATTTAAAAACATTAACAAATGTTTCAACAGATAAAAACAATTTCACTGACCTTACAAATTAACATATTTTTATTTGCCTAAATTCCTTTCATTTAATAACCTTATTTCGCAATTTGAAAATATTTGAGATCAAGCCAAGATATTGTTGGAAATATAGCAAAGGCCATGTTATAACAACATTCCACAACTGAAAAATGTTTCCGTCATGTTATTCTTTTTAAAAACAGCATGTGTGTTTTAGTTTCACTATGAACTCATAGATGGAAGCACATTTAATATGTTTCATTCCATTGCAATTACTAAGCTTATTGATAACAAGATTGTTCCATCTTTAGTTAGCAGGACCCTACTCAAGTTGGCGCATGAAGCATTTTGTCCTGACCAAACACTGATCTGCTTTCTGCCAGTTTTTGCCTTTTCTATAATTTCATATAAAAAATGGGATTATATGGTAAGTACTTTCTTGTTTCTGGTTTCTTCTGTTTAACAATATATTTTTGAGATAATCCATGTTATTAATAGCATGTGTCAGTATTTATTTTTTATTGCTTCGTAGTATTCCATTGTATGAATAGTCTATTTATCATTTTAGCAGTTAATGGAGTTGCTTTGCTGGATGAAAATTCATGTAGAAGTCTTTATGTGCACACGTGTTTTCATTTCTGTTGGAGAAAAATGTAGGAATGGAATTGCAAATGTTTGTCTTACATTATAATAAATTGACCATCCGTTTTCCAAAGTGGTTTAACTTTCTATAGTCTCACCAGCAGAGTTTGAGCATTACAGAGTTGCTCTGCATCCTTGATAACACATTTTTTTTTAAAGGTTTATTTATTTATTTATTTATTTATGCAAGCACTGGGTACAGTCAGAAGCACGGGAGGGTGAGAGAATTCACCAGAGCCAGAGGGGAGAGCAGAGCAGGCAGAATGACGAGGTACACTGCTGAGGGGAACAGCGGGCCGGGCAGGAGAGGTCTGCGCCCCATGTGGGACCTCGCCCAGCCGTCAGGGATAGAACTGGCGCTGCAGAGGCTGCAGGCAGCTTCACAGTCCAGCACTTAACCGCTGCACCACCGGGGAGGCCCTTGATGACATATTCTTAATTTTAGCCATTATTGTGTGTATGTAGTAACAGCTCACTGTTGCTTTAAGTTGCATTTCCCTGATGATTAAAAGCAGTAAGCATCTCAAGTTCTATTTAGTTACTTACATATTTTGTGAAATACCTGTTTAACTCTTTTGCCTATTAAAAAATTAGGTTTTTTTGTCAACTTGTCACTCAATTGTAAGTTCTTTCATATTCTGCATACCAATCCTTTGTCAAACATATATTTCAAACATTTTTCTCCTATTCTATGACTTGAGTTTTCATTTTCTTAGGAGTATCTTTTGAAGAACAGAATTTTTTAAGTTTGGTGAAATTTTCATTTTTAATTTTTTGAGTCCTACTTTAAGAAATCTTTGCCTTCTGTTAGTTAAAATGAGTTTCTCTGGGCCTCCCCGGTGGCGCAGCGGTTCAGCACTGGGTTGAGAAGCTGCCCGCAGCCTCTGCAGCGCCAGTTCGATCCTGGGAAGCTCCCCAGCCACCGGTGGAGGGTCCCACATGGCGCACAAACCTCTCCTGCCGCCTGCTGCTCCCATCCCTGCTCTGCTCCCTGCTCTGGCTCTGGTGGATTCTCTCACCCTCTCGCGCTTCTGACTGTACCCAGTGCTTGTATAAATAAATAAATAAATAAATAAATAAAATAAATCTTTAAAAATAAATAAATAAAATAAAATGAGTTTCTCTTTCGTTTTCTTCTAGAGGTTTTATACCTTTAGCTTTACATTTTGTTCAGTAATTCTTTTAAAGTAACTTTTGCGTATAGTGTGAAAATAAAGACAAATTTAGCTTTCATGCATGTGGCTGTCCGGTTGTTGCTGCACTGTTTGTTGTGAAGTCTTAATATTGAGTAATCTTGGGCCCTTTGTGAGAAACAATTGACTCCTTATATGTGGATCAATTTCACACTCTCTATTCTGTTCCATTGATCTGTGTGTCTATCTCTTTTTTTTAGATTTATTTTATTTATACAAGAGCTGGGGTACAGGCCAGAGGCATGGGAGGGTGAGAGGATTCACCAGAGACACAGCAGGGAACAGAACAGGCAGATGGGTGGACTGAAGACATTGCTGAGGGTAGCAGCGGGCGAGGCAGGAGAGTTCTGCCGCACCATGTGGGCAGCTCCCTGGCAGGCTGGGAATCGAACCCATGCTGCAGA